CTGTGTTCCCAGCTGCAGCTAATGAAGGGAATCAGGGCCCTTTCTTTCCCCATAAGCCATGCAACCCACGTTGCTTTCTTCTCCATTCCTCCCTGAGTGCCCTGGGATGAAGAGGGGGTGGGCCTGGGTCTTCCTCTGAAGTCCCTCTCCCTTGTTCTATCTCTCCCCTGCTCTGCCCAGCCGGACTTTGCCCTTCCCCCAGTTTCTTCCACGGCCAATGGAGTCACACTCCCACTCCCTGTCAGCTGTTTGGCTTCCTCCTCCAAGTCAGATTCCGACAGGGGCATGACATAACCTAACAAAAAGAGACAGTATTTAGGCTCAGAAATACTTTAATATGGCTGGGTGACAGTTCTCAACTTATGACCACAATTGACCACAAAATCTCTGTTGCTAAGTGAATTTTGTCTCATTTTACGACTTTTCAGCGAATCCCTACAGTTTTTAAATTAGTCACATGGTTGAATCTGACTTTTCCCTTGACTTTGCTTGTCAGAAGGTCACAAAAAGGGGAATCACGTAACCTGAGGACACGGCATATGAACCAGTTGCCATGCGCCTGAATTTTGATCACATGACCATGGGGATGCTATAATGGTCATAGGTATGAAAACGTTCATAATTCACTTTTATCAGTGTCGTTGTAACGGTCCCTAAATGAACTGTTGTTAAGTCGAGGCCTATCTGTATTCTGAAACTATAACTCAGTGGTGGCTAACCTTTTGGGGCTCCTGTGCCAAAAAATTGTGTGCGTGCTGGCTTGCCAGCACCCAGAAGGCAATGCGTGCCCTCCCCGCCCCCTGTGCATGCACACACAATCCCTCCATCGCTCCACGCAACCGCCACCTTACACCTGTAATACCGGAAGGGATAAAATGGGCCTATTTGGCTTGCAGAGGCCTTTTTCAAGCCTCTGGGAGGCCAAAAAAGGCCTCAAACAAGCCAAAAATCAGTTGTGAGGCGCATGCATGCGCAGTGAGGTAGATTTGCCTGCAGCTCGTGTGACGGCACAAAATGGCTCTGTGTGCCACCTGTGACACACATGCCATAGGTTTGCCATCATGGCTATAACTCTTGTTGTTTATAAGAGCATCTTCTAAAAAACTGAAAAATTGTAAAAATGATTACATTAAAAAAAAAAAACCCTTTCATAATGTCTGTGAAATTCTTTCTGTGAAATGTCAATGAGAAAGCTTTGTGATATGAACATAGGCCACAACTTCAGTAAGGGGGGACAATGCATCACCCTCATCTCCTTTCAGTGACCCCATAATCCCTAACGGCAGGGGTGGGATCCGACAGGGTTAACTACCAGTTCGGTGATTTACGAGGTTCGGTGATTTACGATGTGCTTTCCTGCATGCTGCCGACCCATCGTCACTAGCATGCTGCGTGCAGAGAAGTAGCTTTTCAAAAAGCCCCTTTTTCCTGCTTCTTTAACTGTAGCTGTGCCTTGCAAGGCAACTGAAGTTGAAATAAAAATCAGGGAACAGCCCGGGTGGGCAGGTGGGCAAAAAACATCAGCAGACGTAGAACCGGTTCTATGTCTGCTTTTCTTCAGAGCTACCATTCTACAGAGGTGGACAGAACCGGTAGAAACCCACCCCTGCCTAGGGGGGTGGAGTCTGACCAACTGAATGGAGCAGAGTGTTTACTGGCCAGATGCCCTTCCTGTCACCAATGTGGAATTTTATTCAGCAGATAAATTCACATTGTGCCCAGAGAGATATGTCTGCCTCTACCTAGGATTGAACTCAGAGCCTCCTGGTTGTGAGGCGAGAGCTCCACCTCTAGGCCACCACGCCACTCTAAGGGAGGGAAATGCATGATCTCCCCCCCGCCCCCCAGCTCCCCAATATATAAATTGAGCCATTATTTTTTACTTTTACCATTAAAACAGTATCTGTTCACATCAGTAGGGGCTACTGCATTCTAAAGCTCTGGAGGCAGAAAAAAATAGCCCTCTTCCTTTCCATTAACTGCTGATTTAATTGGAAATTTCTGATTGCTGAAAACTTCCCAAGAGAAAATTTTGAGGAAAAAAAAAACAAGAAAAAAAATTCCCAAGGGATAAAAATGTACTTGGGAAATCCATGTGGCGGGAATAGGAAAATCCCCGCACTGGAAGTCATTGCGATAATGAAAGTCAGCTGTGATTTAAAGGAAATCTGGACTGATAACCAATTCGACTATGAGTTAGAAGAAGTGCTGAGAATACCAACAGTCTTTGTCACAAGACTTTTCCCCTCTTTTTTTTGCAAGTTATTATTTTTTAAACTGGAGGCTGTCATTTTAACGTCACATTAAAAATGACTCTCCATAATCCTACAAAGAACAAAAGATTGGTCATGGTGAAATTAGCCTATAAGTCAGTGTTTGTCAACTTTGTCAAGTTTTAAGATAAGTGGATATCAGCCTAGGTGCTGGCTGGGCAATTCTATCATAAAGTTGCCAAGAAATGTTGCTTGAAAGGTTATCTTGAAAGATTGGGGGAGCAGGAGATTGGAATAGGGAATAACTATAGTGGCTCAGTGGCTAAGACGCTGAGCTTGTCGATCAGAAAGGTTGGCAGTTCAGAGGTTTGAATCCTAGCACCTCATAATGGAGTGAGCTCCCGTTACTTGACCCAGGTTCTACCAACTTAGCAGTTCGAAAGCATGTAAAAAATTAAAGTAGAAAAAGAGGGAGCACCGTTGGTGGGAAGGTAACAGCATTCTGTGCACCTTTGGCATTTAGTCATGCCGACCACATGACCACGGAGACGTCCTTGGACCCGTTGGCTCTTCATCTTTGTAACGGAGATGAGAACCGCCCCCTAGAGTCAGGAATGACTAGCACGTATGTGCGAGGGGAACCTTTATCTTTATCTTATGTATTTGCAACAGGTAGGGAATTGGGAAAATACTGACTTAGTGAAAAAGAAATATAACTTCATTAGGGAACTTTATTTTCTGAAAGAACTGAGAAATAATCATTTATACGAAGTGTGTCCAAGTCCGGCAATTTTAAGATCTGTGAACTTCAACTCCTAGAATTCCCCAGAAGCCATGCTGGGTGGGGAATTCTGGGAATTGCAATCCAGAAGTCTTAAAGTTGCCAAGGTTGGACACCCCAAAAACATGTGAATTTGTTCCTAAAAATACCTTCTTTTCATTTAACATGATTACACATATGAGTACTACAGTATTACATGAATCCTTACAAATAATATATGATTAAATATATACATGCACACACATACACATACACTCAAAAGGAAATAATCGGAGAAACTACAGTAGATGTTTTGAATGATTCATCCCCATTTCAAAACCATAATCCAAATTAACGAAATCCTGGCATATGCTTCTAAAAGTCATATATAAAGCTGCATTTATTACCATTTTAGGCAGCTGAAACTCAAATATCTCCTGACTTGGGGCATCACTGTAGTAGTATGATTTTTGGGTCCACAGTCTAGACAAAACTGGCAGCCTGTAAAATTTATCACTGTCTGCTGTCACAAAAATGTGTCAAAATTCACATTTGCATAAATGTGGTGGTGTAATGGTCTAGGATCATCCCATCAGTAACTGTGTTTTGTTCAACATTTGTTTTAAATACTTTTCAGATTGTTTGGAATTCATCATTCTTCTATCCAAACATAGCCAAAGTCTGTGGGATAGCATTCCATGGCTTCCAAAGGGACAGAAATAATATTTATGACTGTGTTTGTGGGTAAATTCCAAGCCCAAATTGCATAGTAATCTAAATAAATTTAATAAGAACACTACAAAACATAAATTTGAATTAAATCAGCTAGAGTGACGAAAAAATTTCCCATTAGGTCCCTTATCCTGTTGACCTCTTTACCCAATAATAGCCTTAATTTTGTCCTGTATGCTTTCCATAAATTTTTAGATTTTTCCCATATGAACACATTTTTCTTTGTGTTAGAATATTAATATCAAGATGGTCAGAAATAACTATTTATTATCATGTGTTCTTCTCCATATGACTTGTTGAGATATGAATATCTCATCATATATTTAAATAATTTAGGATCTTCTTTCTTTGTTGGATAATTCAAAACATATATTTTATGAAGCTATCCATTAATGTACTAATTAAAGTGAAATGAAATTATTCTCATGCTTATGTGACCCAGATTACACTTTTATTATGCAGTGGAGGGGGTGGAGTTTGTATTATGACATCACAATGCTCTGTATACCAATTTCTCAATTTTGACTACCCCCAATCTTTTTTACTTTTATTCCAAAAACATTACATTTCTAGGAATAGATCTTAGGGTACTGAAGGAACTTTATCTGAGAGGTGGGGAACTATGGTCCCATTGTGGACTTCAATTCTGGGAGTTGAAGTCCACATGTCATAAAAGGGCCATAGTTCTTCACCCCGATATACTGTAGATCGAGACCAATATGTACCTTGAAAATAATTCAATAACCAGACTCTAAATTTTTGATTTCAGAAAATATTTGAAACATTGAATAACAAGCTGGTTAAGTTTGTTGGCATGCCCTTGAGTGGATACATGTCTATGTGACAAGTATGATGACAATGAAAATGCTTCCAGCATCAACTCAGCTTATTCCCGCTTTGAAAATCAACTTTGAATTGTTGTTGCCACCTAGAAATACTGAGATGGAACCTGATAGTAGAATTTTAATTTTCCCTTTCCTAGCGGATTTACATACAGTATCTTACTCTATTTATAGCTTTATTTCAAGTTAAACAAGTTCTTTTAAGCATGCTCATGCTTAAGTCTGAATTTTATTCTGGATTGGACTGATTGTTTCACTGAGTGATATCAACAAACCTTTCTGCCTAGATCAAGGAAATATAATAAATAGTATCTATCTATCTATCTATCTATCTATCTATCTATCTATCTATCTATCTATCTATCTATCT